GTTGCAGGGGCACATGCTCCCTCCAGATTTGTGTGCCCACTGTGGGTATGGGGCTGCAGCCTGGGCAGCTGACCATGGGTAGGAGGATGGAGGAGAGGACAGAGCAAGGTGGTGACTCATCACTGCAGCTGTTGCCAGGACCCCCATGTCAGCCATGCCACTATCAGCATGAAGAATAACAGACCAGGGGAGCCATGCTGCCCTTGCCTCCTCCCACTGCCAGCAGCTTGCATGCCAGGCCACTGCCATGGCCCAGCCATAACTTCAGTTTCCGTCAATCTGCAGCTCTACCCCAAATGAGAAGTGAGGTGGTGAGGCAGCATGGGCAGCCTAAGGGGAGTGGCTGCAGTGGCATCTGGGTCATGGCAGCAGGGTAGAGTTGTGGCCTGGCACCAGAGCAATTAGCGGTGAGGTCACATCTGGAGTACTGTCCAGTTTTGGGTCCCCCATTACAAAAAATGTGGACAAATTGGAGTGAGTCCAGCAGAGAGCGGTGGAAATGGTTAGTGAGCTGGGGCACATGACTTCTGAGGAGAAGCTGAGGGAACTGAGTTTTTTAGTCTGGAGGGCTAGGGACAGACATTCAAAAAAAAACAGAGCCTAAATTGATTCAACCTTTGTAGGTTAGTCTAACCTGCCTAGGCTGAACCCGTTTATAACAGGACAGATATTCTCTCTGGACTGAGGCAATGCAGGCACATGCCTGCAGTTGCTTAGGCCATAAGCTGGGGGCGTGCTACAGTGCGCCTCGGCTGGAGGAAAGCTATGCTGGGGGTCATGGACAGTCCAGGTTGAACTGGCTAAGGAGGGGTTTAATTCCTTCTTCTCTATCCCACCACCAGGGACCCAAGCCAGGTCTGCCAGGTGCTCCCCCCCTCGCTGCTGCAGCAGTGGGTCCCTGAGGTAGAGTGGGGCAGGGAGAAGAGTTAGTTTCCCCTCTACTCTCACTGGCAAGCGGGTCTGCCCACCATTGCCACCGCATACCCTGCCCCGGAATAGGCCCCCTGCTGTCCCTCTGCTGGACAACAGGAGGAGGAGGAATAACCCTGTCCCTGCACTACCCCCACCACAGGGGACCCTGTTGGGTGGAGTCTGGCTGTGCCTCCACCCCACCACTGCAGCTGGCCCTGGCCCTGACCCGTCCACCTCCGCCACTTGGCCTGTGCTCAGGGCCAGTGGCCGAATAAGTGCCCTCTTGCTAGGAGAGGGCTTACCCCAAGCACAGACCAAGTAGTGGGGGCCAGGACCCACCCTGCCCAGCAGTGGGAATGGTGGGTGACCATGACAGGCAGCAGCCTATCACGGCTCCATAGTTTCATAGTTAGTAGGGTCGGAAGGGACCTGA